GGACAGGGCACAGGTATATTCTAGAGCACTGCATCTCAAACGTTGGCGTGTACAACAGTGACTAGGAGAGTTTGTTAGAACACAGGTTCCTGGGTTCTACGCCAGAAGATTCTGACTCAGGGTCTGAGGTCAGGCCCAGAATTTGCATATCTAACAAGCTGCCAGGTAAAATATGGTTTTAGAACAACTATCAAGCTAGTGGAACAAAACTAATTCTAGCTCCCACTACTGGGGACAGCTTATTTAATAGGCTACCAACTTTGGTCACACTGAGTTTAGGGACTTGCGTGAGCAGAACGCACAGTGAGGACACTGGTTCTGACCGTGGGAGGTAGCAAAGGCCGGTGGAAAGGACAACTTACTACTCTCCCTAGTTTGTACAATCATATGGAAGCCCTGACTGTCTTCACCTGCTCCCTAGAGCTTGCATGGGAGGTTTTCCTTAATAGTAGCTTGCTGGCATTTTTAGGAAGTTTACTGGAGAATTTGCCTAGACCAGTAGTTTATAACCCAGGCCTGTTTTGCACACCAGGGGTACATTTGGCAATGTCTGAAGCTACTTCTGTTGTTCACAATTAGGTGAGGGAGGTGCAATTGGTGTCTGATGGATAGAGCCCAGGGATGCTGCTGAACACGCTACAATGTACAGGATAATTCCCATAACAAACAATTATCTGGCCCAATATGTCCATAGTGCCAGGATTGAGAACTCCATCTAGAAATACATCCACTGGAGTTGGAATTTCCACTTGGGTTTTATTTCAGGTGACACTGGGCATTATATCAATAGATGTTGTCTATGTTGGGGCAGCTTATAACAGCAACAAAAACACATTTATTTTACAAATAAAACCAAAAAGCATTTAAGCAAAATAAAAATAAAGAGACAACTAATAAAGGTGATGAGGGAGGAAGAAAATTGTACAGAAGGATCAGGTTAAGGGAAATTCCTTTAGTGGACTTCTAAACAGGAACTTTTGGGGAAAGGAAGACAGCAAGCTCCATTCAGCTTTGCAGACCCTGGCGTACCCTGTCGTTGACAAATACTGGGCTCAACACATAATGCTATGAAATGAATAAAAGATGTTAATCCATCCTCTTTTTAAAGACTTTTATGCTTGAGGATTCTATAGTAGTTTTCTTTTTCTTCTGAACTAATGATGGTCAATTACTTTGCGAGTTAACAAGCTCTATCTTATTAACTGGAACTCTCTGAACATAGTTTAAATCCACAGAGGACCAGATATAGGTCATTGTTGCATTCAATAAATAAAAATTTATTCTGGTTCTTCCCCTGTCAGAGATTAAAAAAACAGTTGGTCAGGCTAATTATTTTTAAGCAAAAAACATTTACACATTTTTTATTATTTATTTAATCAAGCTAAACAATCTCCTTCCTTTTAACTTTTGTTCTCCACCTTAAATTGAGTTAATTGTATTTGTTGGGGACTTCTCTAATCTTTCCAAACTCTTTTAAATTCAAAGACTCTCATGAGAAACAGTACTCTTAAACCATATTCAGTGACTATTTTTTCCACATTTCTTTTTTTCTTTAAAGATTTTTAAATTTTATTTATTTGACAGAGAGAGAGAGAGAGAGACAGCTAGAGAGGGAACACAAGCAGGGGGAGTGGGAGAGGGAGAAGCAGGCTCCCGGCCGAGCAGGGAGCCCGATGCGGGACTTGATCCCAGGACCCTGGGATCATGACCCGAGCTGAAGGCAGACGCTTAACGACTGAGCCACCCAGGTGCCCCTTTTTTCCACATTTCTTCTGGGCCAGGTTTTGTGCTAGACATTTTCATGTTTTTTATTCCTGAGTGAGGTAGGTAAGTTTGGTCATGTTTCACACATGAAGCAACCAACTTAGACAGTTTCATGAACTATAACCAAGTTCAAAGAGATTATAAAGAGCAGAAATAATATTCAAATTTAGATTTTCTGATTCTAATGCTAGGGCTCACATGATCAACAATACTATGTAGAACATCAAAATTACTTTCCAGCTTTTGCCCATCAGACCAATAGTAGTAATTCTATATTGTTATTTGATAGTTAATAACAGACTATATTGATGACTCAGCTGAGGACTGGAAAATAGGTTTCAAAACCCCAAGAACGGAAGTTGCCCAGTCACCACATTGAATGGTTTCACATCTAAAGCTTCCAAGGCTCTAACATTATTCACAAAATTAATAGTTTAATTACTATAGCTTCATTTTATTTATTTATTTTTAAAGATTTTATTTATTTATTTATTTGAGAGAGAGAGAGAGAAACAGCATGAGAGGGGATAGGGTCAGAGGGAGAAGCAGGCTCCCTGCTGAGCCGGGAGCCCGACGTGGGACTTGATCCCAGGACTCCGGGATCATGACCTGAGCTGAAGGCAGTCGCTTAACCAACTGAGCCACCCAGGCGCCCCTATAGCTTCATTTTAAACAGATAATATTGTATCATCTATGGATGTGTAACAAATTACCCCCAAACTTAGTTTAAACAACATTTATTATCTCATAGTTTCTGTGAATGCCTCTGGCTTAAAGACTTTCGTAACATCACAGGGCCTAAGCCAGGGCTGCAGCTTCACCCGAAAGACTGACTGTGAGATTTGCTTTCAAACTCACCCATGCGGTTGTTGATAGAATTCAGGTCCTCACAGTTTCTTTGGCTGAAAGCTTCATTCCCTTGTTGGTAAGAGACATACATTCCTTGCCCCCTGTGCCAACTCTCCACAGGAAAGCTTACATCATGGTAGTTGGGTCCTAGCAGAGCAAGTGAGAGAGCTAGAGCCGGTAAGGAAGCCTGAAGTCATAGTCCTTTGGTAACCTAATCATAGAATTCACATCTCATTACTATATTATATTCATTAGCGGTTAGTCACTAGGTGCAATGCACACTCAGAGAGCAGGTTGCTTCAGGGATGTAAATACCATAAATAGAAGATTATTAGGGGCCATCTTTATGATTGCCTAGCACAAATATTAACCAGTGTCTGAGTACGTGAAAGGATAGTTTTTTCTATTTTTCTTGAACAACTAATTTATCCACTTATTCAACACTATTCATAAGATAAGAATCATTCTTGTATCACCAGGCTTTCAAAGCCATCAGACAACTAGCCACTCTGACACAATGGATGGGCTGATGACTCTAGACTTGAGGAGGTAGACGGCAAGGGAGTTTCCTTGGTTCTAGTTCTATCGAAAGTGAGATTTGAAGGAAAGACATATATTAGCCAATGAAGAAGGGAATGAGGAAAGTGTTAGAGAAAGATTTTCCAAGCAGAAGGAAAAACATGTACATACAGAGTTTTTGAGATGAAAAAGAACATAGTTTGTTCAGGGGAATACTTTCTTAATCGATTATATCAAATATTTCTACCCATAATCTTAGAGTTTGTGGTTATTCCTAATGAAATAGTTCTAAACTGGACAGAAGAACTGTTAGATATCAAATTTATGATTATTTCTATTTTATCAAAGTAGTTTTTTAATTTGGTCCCCAGGGATGTATTGGACCTAAGAGCTCAGAATGTTTCCTATCCACATGCACCAACTATATTACCCTCATCCCTAATTTGCTTCCACCTGAGGTATTATCAGGCAGAATACTAGGCTCAGATTTAACAATTATAAATAAATTCAGTCAAACTGATTAACCCACCACAATAAACTGCAAATCAAAGTATCTTCTCCTTCACACACACACACACACACACACACACACACACACACACACTAGTAATGGGGAAGAGATTAGATTACTTTGACCCCCTTACTTCCTCTAGGCATTAGGTCTACTGGTCAACAGTTAATATTACCATACTTCATGTAGTTAATATCAAGTACCCTGATAAGTAGTATAAAAACTTCTTCTGTTAATATTTTAGAAGGCTGCCTGTTGTATAATCTCCATGTGTATGCAATAAACTGATATATTATTTTTCAGAAAGGATGTTAGAATAAATGACTACATATAACGTTAGGATAGGGATCTGACTGTTATTAAGCCATACACATTAAATTGAATTGTTTTACTTTAGTTTTTAAAATTTTGATTATGTAGAATTTTGAGTATACACAGGAGTAATCAATAGAATATCCACCATCCAGTCCTAACAACCATTAACCCTAACAACCACTGTTTTTTTTAATCTACTGGGAAAATGTGGAAAGTATTTAAATATTGTGTACAATGCATATGCTCTCTACAGTATTTTGTTTCAATTAAAAATTCAGCTGCAGAGACTCATACGTATGTGTGCAAAGTCTGGCATTTTGCATATCAAACTTAATAACTACATTTTAAACCAGTCTTGCCTCACCCACACTTCTAACTAATCCCCTCCCAAATTATTTTTGAAGTTTATTCCAGACATCATATCATTTCATCGAGGAATATTTCAGTATCTACCTCTAAAAGACAAGTAGTTGACTTTAAATAACAAAACCATAAAAATACTTTTCTTCTAAAAAACCCTCGTAATTTCTTAGTGTTATTAAATAGTCTTTTATTCTTAATTTTATTTTCTTTTTAGAGTGAGATAGATGGATAGATAATCGGTAGTTCTCCACTAGGGTGATTTTGGCCTGCGGGGGGATAGTTGGCAAAGGCTGGAGACATTTTTTTGTTACAATGGAGGGGGTGGGGCTATGCTAATGGCATCCAGAGGGTAGAAGCCAGGTGTGCGGCTAAACTCACAGAGCAGCACCCCACAACAAAGAATTATCTATTCCTCATTGTCAATAGTGCCACTTGGCAACATGGATAGGCAAGTAATAGGTCGGTAGAGAGAGAGAGAAGTAGAGAGATAAGATAGCTGTTAAAAGTTTATAAAGGATAGAGATACAAAATATCCATCTATGAGGTCATTTTTGTAACCACACAAAGGGCAAAAATAGATCTAAAACTGCAAAGAGGGTTCAGAATGTGTAATTATTCCAGTCAAAATGTCCCATAAATCAGATGAAATTTCATGGTTTTTTTTTTTTTTTTTTTTAAGGAATGGAGAATCGCAGTGTAAATGGCACATCTGTTGCAGGTGTGGATAAAGAAGTTCAGGAAAGTATTCATTTCTTCTGTGGGCAGCGGAGTCAAAGGAAGCAATGAACAAAATGCTTAGTAAATACAGGTAGAACGTGTGTTATGCAGCACGTGCAAAACCTAGCAAAAATTATTTTGAATTTGCTAAGCCGTAATCTGTCAGAAATGGCTTTTCTCATGCAAAATCATGCTATGAATGTTCATGATTGTGAGATATTTTTCCAGATGAAAATTGATGGTAGCTACTTTAATGCAGAAAGAGCTATGCTCATTATTCTCCACACAGAACCCCTGGCAATAATTTACCTAGCAGAGCCGCAGCTCATGCAGATCAAAGCTGCATTATTTAAGTGTGTCCAGGGGGCAGATTTGAGCTCCGTGTGCCTTATACTTTAAAGGGAAAGAAATATATATTGGTTTGCTTCTTGAGAAACAAAATATGTTTAATAGGTGCTTCGTGCAAGTCCCACAAAACTCAAACGAATTCCTCCTATTATGTGGGACGAAACCGCTCCTACCCTCAATACTGTAAAATCTGAGGGGAGTACAGAACAACTGTGGGAATGTAAATCTCTTCAAATGAACAGCAGTGCATTCTCATTTAGATTAAACCCGAATGTGAACTAGATTCAGGAGAGGAAATGGCAGAGAGGGAGATACTCTGGAGTTGCTATAGAATGTGCCTGGCTGCTTTCGCTCCCAGAAACTGATGAAGCCCAACTCTGAAATTTCAGGCAATTTGTATACCAAGCTCCTCCTTTTCTGTAGTCTTCTCTTCCATTGGTAAAATTCTTTTGCAGGGTCATGTAGGGATCCCACCCCTTCTCTGTGTTTTCACTCTGAAGCTCTATACAACTTTACACCTGAATGAACGCCAAATCTCACTGGATATATAAAGGGGACCTTGAGGAGGAATTTCACAGTTACAGTGCAGAAGAAGCAGAAGGAAAGGAATTAACCAGCTCTCCAGCCAAGCAAATCCTCTCCTCACCATGCTTCCTCCTGCCATTCATTTCTATCTCATTCCCCTTGCATGCATCCTAATGAAAAGCTGTTTGGCTTTTAAAAATGATGCCACAGAAATCCTTTATTCACATGTGGTTAAACCTGTTCCAGCTGGTTCCAACACCAGCAGCAACAGCACGATGAATCAAGCCAGAAATGGAGGCAGGCATTTCAGTAACACTGGACTGGATCGGAACAGTAAGTGCATTTTACTTGCCTGGATTTGGGGGGTTTTTTTCTTTTTATGGTAGCATTAGCTCACATTCCTATAGAATTGTTTCATTGCTAACTAACCTGAACCATGTATATTTTGCTAAACAATCTGGGAGTAATCTACTGCATGTGTGGATTGGCATTCTTCTCTACAAAGTTAATATAACTGAAACAGTGGTTTGATAATGCAGGCGTGGACTTAAGTTCTATCAAGCATCCAAAAAAGAAAATGTTTCTAGGAATTAAACTGTCGCTTTTTAAAAATCGTGCAAAATGAGAATTTTTTTGAAAAAGTGTTGTTCTGGATAGTTGAAACTCAGGTTGGTTTCTGTGTATTTCAGGACATGTGCAATTGTGGTAAAGTGTATAAACATAACTAAGCAAAGTATGTATAGGAAATCACAGGCTTTCTGGAAAAAAAAAATGGTTCACACAGATTTCTAAAATATGTCCACTGAAATAGTTGAGAGTTTTGATGATGATCAGTGTAAAAGAGAGATGTATCTAAAAATACTGGAGAATCATATTTTTCCGCGATAATTTCTTACTAACCAGTTCAAGATTTGGGTAATTGTGTATTTCTGTGAAAGACTGGGGAAACTTCTGTGACTTTAGTTTTAAAATAATAACAGGACAATACTATTTTGTACAGCAAGTATTTGTTTTCTCTTCTGTTTGCTTAAGTGACACACTAATGAACCACTAGTTGGAGGGATTCAAATTTCTTCTCCTAACTTTTGCTTCACTTCTTTCCTTCAAGAAAAGTTCCCATGCTAGCAATCAGGTTTTAAGAGAGGCACAGAGAAACAGTGCGCAGGAAATCTGACCCACGTCTTTTGCTCCATCTCAACTCCATTCAACTGCTAAAAGTAGTTTTGACCTTGAAAAAGGCAAAGCAAATATGACTATTAATGTCTTCCTGAGAAAACCAAGGTGTTTTGACTTTCGTGAAGAGAGTTGCTTTTAGGTACACAGGAAGGATCTGCTTATTATTAGATTACCGAGCAATGGAGTGGGTATTCATTGTCAATGAGCTGTCACTGCAAAAAAGCCGAGTCCCTGTGTACACGGGGAACAAAAAGCTAGGCAAGTCAAAATCATCTCTGGCTGTTTCCAGGTGCATTCCTAAGGCAGATGTAGGAAGGGAAGCTGGAATCAGTCACACAGGCAGAGCACACTGACCAGCCAACCAGTTTGCTCTTTCATTTTACTCCCGCACTGTGTACGGATGTGTGTGTAGCTACATAAATTGTCTTACAACTACTGCATCCCTTTAGGCTACATCTCTCACCTCCGAAGTACTGAGGCAGAGAGACAAAGTACAACTCCTAAGTCAGTATCTCCTTCAAATTAGCTTTCAGTTTTCCACTTCAGGGCAAGGCCACTTCAATGATCCTTAGAGTTTTTATCTTTCGAATTTGGGCAGTCTGTACTTATAAACATTCTTTCTGGTTAACAAGCTTTGATTTCTTTTCAAGTTTGTTATGGACCATTCTCCTCGAGTTTAGATAACAAAGCAATGGAGAGGAAAACTCAAATATCTCAAGATTAATTTTTGCTTTAATTACATAAGGCACGTAACCAGAAACAGCTAATTAGAGAACATACTTACCAAATTCAAATAACTAAACAAAAAGTTTGCCATGACCAATGTTCAGGAAACGAACACACCATGGTTCCTTTTGCAGTTGTAAATCAGACATGTTAGGCATTTTTCTGCCATAAAATTCATGGAAATGTAGCCAAGTTGTTATGGCAACCATACGTTCCTGATTTGGGAGCTTTTATATTCTTCAAATTTTGAGTTGTAGTGACATTTTGCATTTCAAACATTTTAATATTTGTTTTTAAAAGATAGCTTGGGAATTTATGTTTAAAATGTAGTTATTAAGTTTGATATGCAAAATGTCAGACTTTGTACACATACGTATGTATGAGTCTCTGCAGCTGAATTTTTAATTGAAACAAAATATTGTAGAGAGCATATGCATTGTACACAATATTTAAATACTTTCCACATTTTCCCAGTAGATTAAAAAAAACTAATTAAAAGCACTTGCAAATATTAACTGATACGACCTGTGAGAAAAAGAACATTATGCTCTTTTTTAGTTTACTGAAGAATGAATATTTTACACAAGCGTAAGAACTGCTTAACCCCTGCTGGGGAGTAAGTCTAAAAAAAATGGGATTTTCGAAAACTTTAGCAAGCAGTTAGCTAATGTTATCCATGAAAACAGAAATCAGGCCTCGTTCATTTTGTTTCAAAAGATGTATAGCCATGTAAACTGATAATTTTCATGAAAGTATCTCTATAATCTATCCAGGCAGACTTTTGCGTTGTGAAAATAAAATAGGGGTTTGCTTTCTATTTAACAGTTTGCTATCATTTGGATACAATTTTTGTCATTGCAGATTACTTTTTTTTTTTTTTTAAGTGTTCATTTGCTTCTTGTCTTCAATGCACATTCTTTTCTGTTTCCTGCAGCTCGAGTTCAAGTGGGTTGCCGGGAACTGCGTTCCACCAAATACATCTCTGATGGCCAGTGCACCAGCATCAGCCCTCTGAAAGAGCTGGTGTGTGCTGGCGAGTGCTTGCCCCTGCCCGTGCTCCCCAACTGGATTGGAGGAGGCTATGGAACAAAGTACTGGAGCAGGAGGAGCTCCCAGGAATGGAGGTGTGTCAATGACAAAACGCGTACCCAGAGAATCCAGCTGCAGTGCCAAGATGGCAGCACGCGCACCTACAAAATCACAGTGGTCACCGCCTGCAAATGCAAGAGGTACACTCGGCAGCACAACGAGTCCAGTCACAACTTTGAGAGCATGTCGCCTGCCAAGCCAGCCCAGCACCACAGAGAGCGGAAAAGAGCCAGCAAATCCAGCAAGCACAGCCTGAGTTAGGACTCAGACTCTCCAAACCAGACTGACTCGTAACCATCTGCTTTACAGATTCGATTGCTTGGAAGACTCGAGCCTGCCATTGCTATTCTGTTACTTGAAAATATATGCTTTCTGCTTTGATCAAACCCACCAAGCTGTCCTAAGTATCAGGACCTTCTTTGGGAATAGCTTTTCCTTTTCCAGTTTTTCAAGATGTATGCATATCCAAGAGGGCGATTTGCATTTAAATCCCAGACAACCTGTAGTTTTAATTCCCCATGGTTCTCGAAAGACTGGTGGTACTGTATACATCACTGAATCATTACTTTTTAAAACAGAAAAGGGCTTCTTGTTTACCCTCCACTCCCCAACCCATCCCCACTCCCATCCCCCAAAAACCCCTTCAAAATTAAAAAGTTAAAAAAAAAATAGTTGCCACGAATCTTCACAGTAACACTTCAGAAAGGTGCTTTTTTTTTTTTTTTTTTTTTTTTGGTAATCTTCATGGGAACAGTTTAGCAGCCATGAGTGATCTCCTTTGAAAGAGGGCAAGATATTGTGACATTTCACTTTAAAAATCAGCCCTGTAGCTTTTGACAGTCTCATAGTATGAAATTATACCCTGCATGCTGACCCTTGCTTAGAATGGAATGCCAGAAATGCATGGCAGCAGCTAATAAGTAAAACTGATGAACTATTTATTTGTCAATGTTATTATTTAATGAGCTTTCACATGTGATTTTTTTCAAAATGTTAATTTTTTATGTTTTGAAGCTTTTTCATGTACCTAAATATTTTCCTGTATGATTTGTGGTTGATCTAGAAATATGAGAATACATGTTGTAGATATGTAAAATAAATATTTTAGTCTCCTTATTACATATATGTGACATCATGAACTTTATCAATAGTATGGATCTTTTTAAATCAATAAGATGCTTTGTAAAGCTGAAATATGTAATACTTTTTTTGTTTAATCCGTGCAATCAGAAGGTGATTTAACCTTCAATTCCATCAGTTTCTTTTAACAAAAATAAACACCGCTAAAAGCTATTGTCCTTGCCTTTAACATGTATGGAAAAGGTACATGTTTACAAAAATTAGAATATATGTAGCAGGGTAACTGATTTTTTTGATAAGTCACATTTCAGTTTTTTTTTTTTAAAGATTTTATTTATTTATTTGAGAGAGAGAGAATGAGAGACAGAGAGCATGAGAGGGAGGAGGGTCAGAGGGAGAAGCAGACTCCCTGCCGAGCAGGGAGCCCGATGCGGGACTCAATCCCGGGACTCCAGGATCATGACCTGAGCCGAAGGCAGTCACTTAACCAACTGAGCCACCCAGGTGCCCCACATTTCAGTTTTGACAGAAAGTTCTGCAGTAAGAGGGGAGAGAGAGGAAGAGAGACAATCTTTTCAGCAAAGGGATGATTTAAAAAGTTAAGTGGCAATCCAGCAGTGAGTTGTAATGAGAATATCATATTTATATACACCCATGATGCCAGGTCTGCTGCCCATTACAATCACCTGGAGGAGATAGTTTAAGACCCAATGTCCAGGCTGTCATCCAAATTACGTCATAATTTCTGGTGGTAGAAATCAGATATCAGCAGTTTTTAAGGTTTTCCAGGTGATCCCAACATGCAGCTAAGTTTGAGAAAAGAATTGAACTATTGATTTATCTTCCAGCCTTACTAGCTAGATCTTAAACTATATCATATTATATCATCATATTAATATTTGAGACATTCATGATAATATATCATAGGTTGAATATACCAAAAATATATTGTCCCATATGTCTATTTCTGTCGCTTATCATTGCTCCATATAGGATATTTAACATAATAGAAATTTAAGACACTTTAGTCATTTCTTCCATCTCAACTAGATAGCACCTTTAGTGGATGGCCTTAGAGTTAATCTTAAAAAATTGTGTTCCAAAATCTGAGGCATAAAAAGGACTTGACCTGACAATAGCTTTTCACAATCAAGACTATGTTGCTGCCCTTTCATAAGAAAACATCCAAACAAAAGTTTTGGTGATAATATGCTAAAATCATCACTGATTTAATTGCTAATCATGAATTGGTAAATGAAAGTACTAGAAAAAATAAAATGGAATAAAAGAAGATTATAAGTAAGACTTCTGTAGTCTCTGCAAGTCAAGAATTGGATCTATTTCTCATGGTCACATTCAATTTACTAATCTGTTTTGGGCCTTGTTACATTGATGATGCATTCATTGCATGGTATTTGACATCAAATGAGAGGAAAAGGTCAGCAATCAATAAGAAAGGCCTAGGATACAATCAGGCTTCCAGAGAAGTGCAAATTAAAAGTCAACAGAAAGAGTAGCTTTATAGTTATTATTTTAAAATGCTAAAAAGCACTTGCATCTGAATTGCTGATTATATTTCAGGTTTTTTTTTTCCCTCTGGTTAACTCACATATTCCCATCTAATTAAACTCTGCATAATTGTCTTCTCACCTTAGTAACTATCATTTCAAAATGGTGAATTGTGATAATTTTAGCAGAGTCTGACCTCCAGTTCACATTCATAATATCTATTCATAAAGGATTTGTTACCAAATTTATTTTTGCCACTATGAATAAAGTACTTTTTCAAGAGGCTCAATAAATAGTAGATATTAATATTGATATCTATACATGCATTAGAGGTGTAGATAGATGTCAATAACAAGAATGAAAGGAAAATTAATAGCACATATGCAAATAAATAATACATGTAGTGTGCTATACCCAAGTTAAACATGGACATACATAGAGCCTTTGGAAATATCTAGTTGCAAAAAAAAAATATTTTAACTACAAATCCTTTATATTTATTCATTTATGTTAATTACAAATAACTGCTAATTGACAATACTCTATCAGCCATGTTTTATTGTGTATTTTTTGAAAAGCAATGAAAATTAAGTCACTTTCTTTTAAATTAAAAAAAAGACTGAATCTTAATCTACTCCAGCTCAACATCAAATTAGTAAGGTTTTACTAGGAGATCTTGTTGTATCATTCACTCTATCTCCTATTAGAATTATTATTTTCTAATCATGTAACCTGATATGTCTATTTAGCATGACATTTACTTTACTTTTTTTTTTTTAAAGATTTTTTTTTTTTTAATTTTTATTTATTTGAGACAGAGAGAATGAGAGAGAGAGCGCGCACATGAGAGGGGGGAGGGTCAGAGGCAGAAGCAGGCTCCCTGCCGAGCAGAGAGCCCGATGCGGGACTCGATCCAGGGACTCCAGGATCATGACCTGAGCCGAAGGCAGTCGCTTAACCGACTGAGCCACCCAGGCGCCCGACATTTACTTTACTTTTTAAGATATTTTTATTGGATATAGAAATCTGAGTTCATCAATTTCCCCCCCCAGCACTTTATTTATTTATTTATTTGTTTATTTATTTATTTTTAAGTAGGGTCCACGCCCAGCACGGGACCCAATGTGGGGCTTGAACTCACAACTGTGTGATGGAGACCTGAGCTGAGTTCAGGAATCAGTCTGTCGCCTAACCAACTGAGCCACCCAGGTGCCCCAATATTTACTTTAATAGGTACTGAACAGAATGGTTGTAATAGGCAGTTATGGTGGAAAGAATAATATTTAGTCAAGGCAAAACAAGGAAACTTCAAAACAGCTGAATAAAATTAATGTCTTCAAAAGTTTAGATTTAGTGTGTGAAATATCCTTTTTTTGCAATCACTGTGAAATTTAGGTATCAAAATCAAATTCATTATAGTTGGAATTAAAGCATTTGGAGTTGATGTAACTCTTGAAAATGTTTTTTAGCACTGAAGTGGCAACTCACTGCATACCTTAAATTCAGCATTTGTATGCTTCCTCTAGTCATATAGTTCTAATAAAAAATGAAATGCATAGGAAATCTTTGATAAAATCCTGTAGACACCCAGAAGGAATTCAGTGGGAAAATGATTTAGGGTCCTCAGTGCTAGAGTGTGTTCTCTTGTTAGAATGTTTCCTTCCCTCAAGGGCAGACAGAGGTGACTTCCATCTTGGTCTTATTGGAACCTATTAGAATATAGCTCTGTGTTGAATTAAATGAGTCTAGATTTGTGAACTAAGTAGATGTTTGGCCAATATTGTTATATCCACAAAGAGAGACCTTTTAAAATAGATATCCCAAAAGACGTTCTCCTTGTCAGTGTCATTTTCAATTCCGTTGGTTTATCCATTACTCCTGACTCATTAGCTAACATTGCATTTGGTGCCTTAGCTTGCATATTTTGCAAATTGTCTAGAAGAGCTACAGGGTAGCAACTACTACAGAAATCCCAATGGAAAGATGTTTTAGCTTCCAGGTTCAAGAACTGATTAAAATGAATGCCAAACTGACGGCATAATTATATCCAGTGCAAATTAGACTGGGTGATAGTTTATCATCTGCATGGCAGACTTGCTGAAGGATTTGTTTTCTTACAAATGAAGAATGAAACAGTTTGGGGAGGTTTATGCAGGAAACTAAATGTTTTCCTTTGAATTTTACTAACTGCACACTAAAGATTACCTTGTATTATTGATTTCATTTTATAGTGGTGGGATTAGGCCCTTGAATCTGAGACAGGGTGTCTAAACTGAATGGAATTGTCAGTGACACCGGTATGTTCCACCAAAATTCATTGTTACTAAAACTGGTCATGGGTTTGACAGGCTCAAAGACATTTTACTATTAAAATATAAATATCAGGGTTTTTTTCAGTAGGAATAAAGGCCTTTTGGGGGGGTATTTGTTACTAAATTCACACAAATTTAAAAATCTTTTACATTACAATCTTGGTGAATTTTCACACAAAGTCATTTGAGTCCTTTTATTCATTGAGGTGTTAGCCTAAAGTTGGTATTGAAAGACAGACTAACACACAGAACCCAGTAGTTTAGTAACCAGGACTTTTTGGCAATCCATTACAATCTTTAATTAGCACTATATGTTAATACAGTTAACCCTTGAACAACATGGGTTGGAACTGTGCCGGTCCAGTAATACATGGATTTTTTTGGTATAGTATTGTAGATGTATTTTCTCTTATGATTTTCTTAATATTTTCTTTTCTCTATCTTGCTTTATTGTAAAAATACAGTATATAATACGTATAACAAACACAATGTTAATAAACTGTTTATTTTATCAGTAAGGCTTCTCATCAACAGCAGAGTATTAGTAGTTAAGTTTTTGGGAGACAAAAGCTATACATGAATTTTTTACTGCAAGATGTTGACACCCTTAACCCCCACATTATTCAAGGGTCAAATGTGGTTGACAATTTTTACTAACTAGAGGTTTCTATATATTTTTTTGCCTTGTTTCCTCTCTTACTTCTCATTTGTGTGTGTTTTTTATTAATTCCTCAAACTTAGAGAGTTAAAAAAATAACCAACTCTTTCTTGCTACATATTTCTTTATTGTAAACCAAAGATAAAAGTCACCAGATGCATTAATAATCTAATGAAAGGTTACCATTTTGCCTGTATGATACTATCTTTCCTAAGAATTGATTAATTTTGTCCAGTTTGTGTACTAATTAAGAAGAGTTTTACATTTAATCTGTGACAGTTTGACATTTTAAAAAAAGTAATAAACAATAAAGTTTTCAATTTAACTTATTTGCAATTCTTTAGTCATTTTATAGAAGGCATGCGAACTTGTTTTTTTTTTAAGTTTTTACTTAAATTCCAGTTAGTTAACATACAGTGTAATATTAGTTTCATGTATACAATATAGTGATTCAATACTTCCATATGACACTGGGTGCTCATCACAACCAGTGCATACCTTAATCCCCGTCATGTATTTAACCCATCCCTCCACCCACCACCATTCTAGTAACCATCAGTTTGTTCTCTACCTGGGATACAGTTTAGACTATCTGCTGCTAATCGGTTGGGTGAAATTATACTTGTGTCTTAATGGTCCTCTGGCTCAACTACTTGATCAGTAAAATAAGGGAGGTGAACTAGATAATATTGAAAGTGCCTTCCAGCCCAAAACACTCATATTCTGCT